ATACCCTTACTCTAAAAGCCTATTTTTAACTTTTAAAATGCTTAAATTTTTTAACATTTTAACCTTTTTGTTAAAAACTAAGACACAAGCACACACATTAGCCTCGGCCTACAGGGTCAGGATCATCAATATCATTGTTCCACCTCCACATATGGAGGGTCTTCAGGGACAGTAACACCCATGGTGCTGTCATCTCCTGTGCTATCAGTGCTTTCTTCTTCTAGAATATCCCTGGAGGACCTGTTTGAGGCTCTTCTTAGGAGATGTTATCCTGCAGAAATACTTCCACAGCAGTTGCTCTCATCCTAGATTTGCCTGGAAGCAGATAATGCACTATGAACATTCCTTTGTACTAATGAAAACCTTCTGGTGTTGGGTCTGCATTTTCAAACTCTGTACAGAGCCTGTTGGGGTCTGCTAAGCCCTTGACTGGTACTTCCCTGTTCTTTCTCTTCTCCTTCAGCTTTCTTTTCTCTCACCCCTTCCTCATTGATGCATTCCTGCTCCAGTACCAACAGCTCCTCATCATTGGTTCCTCAGAAGCCATCTCCAAGGGCTCCTTCGTGTCGTCCCACCCACACCTAGGTTAGAGCTGTTTGCAATCGCAACCATGGCTGTGTTGATTTTTGCAGCCTCCTCATTCTGGGCAAATCCTCTGAAGTCATGAATAGACTTCTCAAGTATCCTCTTCCAGATGCCCTTCAAACACTCCTTGGTGACATCACCCCAAGCCCAAGCAAGGTTCTTCATGCAGTCACAGATATTGAACTCCTTCCCGAGTTACATCAGGGTCTTCCTCCGTTGTAGCAATAGCCTGGGCAAAGTCCTCCTCAGGCAGTAGGCTGTGAAGGTTACTCTAACTCTTTGATTCACTGGTTGGCTCATAGGGGTGGTGTTTGGAGGTGGACACACCACTGTGATGCTGGGATGACGATCACGCATGAAGGAGGGTATGCAGGAGCATCGTTGACAATGAGAAAACTCCTGAAAGGTCTGTTTCTCCACATAGTGTTCTTCCATGTTGCTGGCACAGCAACTCAGAGGGCATACAGGAGGAAGAGCTGGGGTGTCATGACTTCTTACTGCTCCTACAGTACACCAGCAATATATGTGTATTGAAGTGCTTGAATGCCAGATCACAAAAGGTTTCCATGTGTAGCTTGCACCACTGCCCCAAGCAAGACTATGCTCTAGTCCTTAAGAGCCCTGACACCGGGCACTCCCTTGGTCTCTTGATAGATGACACCTCTTTCAGGTAGCCATTTCCAGTACAGAGAGGTTCATCCACATTGAAGATTTGCTCTGGCAAGTAATTTTCCTCCACAGTCAGTTTATCTGGAGTTTTCAAAACTTCTTCCGCTACCGTCATGTTGGCACTTGCACTCACCAGTCATTTTCATGCTGTGACATGAACAACCACCATTGGATTGTTTATACCACCCAGAGTCAGCAGTAAATTCTGTATTGTAGTCAGGGGGGCTGGCTCTCCTTACCACATTACAAACATACTTTTTGCTTTGGTGTGGTCATCATGGTGCTGAGAAAGATGAGCTTCTGTATCCGGTTTTCCATCCAGGTCATCAGAAATTTCTCCACGTGAAATCAGGCTCTTCTTAAGTTCTGTTCATCTGATTGCCTTCAACAAAGCAGATCCTCCAACAGCTCCCACCATTCTACTCTCATCAGCTGAGATCCTGCTATGGGGGGATGGTTCCCGCCTACTGACAAGGACCTCTGGGAGCCATCACTTCAACCTAACTTCTAGGCCCAGCACTCGACAGCACTTCTAGGGTAATATCAGCTGTACACTGTGTTTGCTTAGTGCCATAAAACCAAGTGACATGAGATTAAATCAAGCACATGAGAAAGTGATACAGCCAGGATGTGCAGTGAACATCAGGTGTGTGAGGCAGGGCTGGTGTGACACACTCAGGGCTTCACAGTGAATTTTTTTTTTTTTTGAGTTGGAGTCTCCCTCGGTCGCCCAGACTGGAGTGCAGTGGCTACTCCTGGCCACCGCAGCCTTGACCTGCTGGGCTCCGGCGATCCTTCCGCCTCAGTCTTCCAAGTAGCCGGAATCACAGACATGCGCTAACACGCCTAGCTGATTTTTTTATTTATTGTAGAGATGAGGTCTCACTGCCCAGGCGGGTCTCGAACCCACGGGCTCAGGCAATCTACTCACCTCAGCCTCCCAAAGGCGCGGGATTACAGGCTAAGCCACCGTGCCCGGCTCACAGTGAACTTTTTTTATAAGTAGGAGTATCCTCTAAAATGATGATAAAAAGAATGATTAAAAACACAGACCAGTAGCCACAAGTCAGTCATGTATTATCATGATCAGGTCTTATGTATGTGCATAACTATATGTACTAGACTTGAATACGACTGGCAGTGCAGCAGGTCTGTTGATACCAGCACTGCCAAACGACACACACAATGCTCTGTGCTGTTACATGAGGATGACTGTGATGTCATCAGGTGACAGGAGCTTTTCAGCTCCATTATAGTCTTACAGACCACTGTCATACATGCTGCCCATTGTTAGCAGAAACATCATTAGGCAGTGCATGACCATAAGATCCTTACCGTGCTAAGTGCTAAGAAAGTAAAAGCAGGTAAGGTAACAGCTAATCATGTGGGATAGGTAGCAGAGAGGACTCCTGAGAAAACAAAGACATTTAGGCAAATACCTACAGATAAGGAATTTGCCAGATCGAGGACTTGGGGGAAAGATGGGAGGATGGCTGGTATTTTCTGGATCAAGGAAAAGGCAATAAGGAGCCCTTAGTAAAGAATTTAGAAGACAGGCATGGTTCTAAGTTTTTAGGCTATAATCTCATGCCTGTAATCCCAGCAATTTGGGAGGCAGAGGCAAGAGGACTGCCTGAGCCCAGGGGTTTGAGACCAGCCTGGGCAACATGGCAAGTCCTTATATCTACAATAAATAAAAAAATTTCCCAGGTATGGTGGCACATGACTGTAGTTCCAGTTACTTGGAAGGCTGAGGCAGAAGGATAGCCTGAGCACAGCAGGCTGAGGCTGTGGTAGCCATGACTGTGCCACTGCACTCTGGCCTGAGCAACAGAATGAAACTCCAACTAAAAGAGAAAAAAAAAAGAATTCAGCACATGTGACGCAATGCAAGAAGGCCAGCATGGCTAGCATGGTGGAGGAGGGAGCTGCAGAGTGAGGACAGGGAGGCTGGCAGGGCCAGACCATCAAGCATTGGAGAGATACCAGCATCTGAATTTTATCGTAAATGCAGTGGGAAGTCACTGAAACATTTTAAGCATGGGAATGACATGAACGAATGTCCCTTAAAAAAAGAAATCCTAATGTCTGCTGAAGAATTACAAGTATTCCTTGCTATTCAAAGCTAGTATGAGTTCAGATAATAAGGGATACCATATTTATAAGTTTGAGTTGAGTTTTGATTAGCAAATAATAAGTTATGATAGCAAAAGATTTATCCAAAAATTTATTTGAATTTACTCAGTAACAGAGGGTGAAAATTGGAGGAGTGACAATGTAGATAAATTTTCTGATTTGGAGAACTTCCGATCAATATAATGGAATGAACAAACAGTAAAAAGGATCCCTCTATGTCACACACATAAAAATGCTAGATAATACAGCCTCCCGTGCACTTTTGTTAAAAAAATTAAAGTTTAAAAACAAAGGTAAGATCCTCAGGTGCCAAAACCTAAAAAGAAGCTAAAAGTTATAGCAGTGACAGGTGTGGTGATGACGGATGCTGACTTTTGGATGAGTCTGGCTGGATTGAAGTTCAAACAGCATGAGCTAAGACTCTAAGACGAGATGAAATTAAGGTTCCAGGCTCCTGACAGAGAAGCAGAAACAAATACTCATATGACAAGAATGGGCTATTTTGAGAGGAGAGAGTAAATGGATTACAAATAGATCACAAGTAAATAACAAACATCAACACTCACTGCATTAATTTGAGCGCTGCATGAAGTCTTACTTCTAGTGAATAGCGTAACTTCTAGAGAAGTACCTGCTCTACTAACAAAGACAATCTATAATTTGAGGCAAGCCTTCTGAATCAACACCAGGGTGAAAATAAACCTACGGGGGTATAGACTTGGCTCAATTCACTTTCTAGTTAAATGCTTTCTTATTTCCTGTTCCAGACTAAAACACTCCAATACACGCTTAGAGCTCTCTAAAGCTCTCTAAAATCTCTTAAATCCAAATGTTTCCTACACTGGAAAGACATTCAATAACAAGAAAGACATTTGATAACAGGACTTGAACTCCCTATGAAACGACTCTCTACTTAAGCTTACAAGCTATTCAACTTGCAGGAGTTGATAATATCAGGTTGGCATATTTTTCAATGCAAGATTTTTTTGTGTATAAAGAGCTTTGTCTGTCAGTATGTCAAAACTGTAGCAGGCTGGTGGAAGAGTGGGGAGTAACTATTTAAGTGGCATGGGCTTCTATTTTGGAGAGATGAAAAGCTTTGAATTAGAAAAAGGCTTTGGCTATACACCACTGTGAACATACCAAATGCCACTTATTTCTTCCTTCAAGTGGTTAACGTTACAGTATGTGGATTTCACCTCAATTAAAAACAAATGTTGAGGACAAAGGCATGGTGTCTACATGAACATAATTCAGTTAACTAGTCTCACACAAGAAGTCAACATTCTACACTGCCAGCCACTTAGCAAATTTATGCAACTGGTCACAAAAGGGACCAGCAGGAGACCAAGCACAGAGCAACAGAAATTCAACATAACTGGGAAACAAGTCAATTACACACTAATGCCAATACCTTTACATATAATGTCATATTGCAAGAATGATTCTCCTTGGAATATGAAATTTGGGGTAAAAAAAACCTAACCACTTACTCTAACTCTCATTCCACAATCCCAAAGATCTAATTTTATGGCAGAGATATAAACATACAATGTTAGATGCCACAGGAGTACATGTAGAAATAAAATGCAAATGAATGCATGCCTTACCTCGGAACTCAAGTCCTCGTAGCTGGAATGTGACCAGCCCATTGCCGATCTCTATGAGGTGCACCAGTGCGTTGAGGTAGTCAGAAGCCAAGATGAAGCAGTCCCCTGTGCTGTAGTTCCCCCACCGTCCCAGCAGCAAATCGCCACAGAGACTGTGTTGCAAGGATCTGGTCAAATGCTCATAGAAGATGGAATTCAGATTATTGTCATCTGATCCTATAAAAGGATTTTAAAAAGTTAAATTTCACCTTAAGTTCCCTTTATACTGACAACTGAGATTTTTTAAAGTATTAATACTTACTTCCAGTTAGAGCTGTCCTTATATTTATTTGATAAGGAAAATAATATTCATACTCTTACAATTTCTATATAGAAATGAAACACAGGTTAATGGGAAAGGTTTCAGAATTTGGAGTCACATGACTCCTCAGAATCTATGGTTCCCATTAATAAAATGTGGGAAACTGATTAGATGCAATCTAAGTACTTTTCCATAAATTATTCAATAAAATATGCCTTATAATCAAAACCATGCAAGAGAAAAAAGATAAAAGAATTCAAAAAGAGAATGAAAAGACTATGTGGCAAAAGAAGTAGATATAAGATGTGAACAAATACGACAGTCTAAAACAAAGAGAAGTTGGTCAGTCAAAAAGAAACTACATATTGAGATGGCTGACATAAGCAGAAATAAAATATATATACAGATATAGAAACAGAGAATCTATATAAGGGGTGTTAGGGCTGTCCTTCAAGAAAAACATTAAGATAAAACATCACTCAATAAACTATATGACCATCTCAAGAAGTAACCATCCAGAGCAATAACCTGCAAATGTGGGCCCCATGGACAGTACTGAAGAATGGCAAAATATTCAAAGCTTAATAATGATTTTAAACTCAGTCTAACTAAATAGTAAAATAATGAAAGGGAGACCTCAGACTCTAATGTCAGTAAAATGTGTCAATTCTATGTTTATCTAACACAAAGTGTACCTATTGTCAGGACACGGCCTTTGTGTTTTACAGGATGGCATCATCAACATGAGAATTCTAGCTTTTAACAAGCACATTCTAGTGCTGAAATGGTTCTTTACTCTCTCAGAACATGATGACGGCAGTCATGAATATCAATAACTAGTTCTCCTTGATCCAATTTTATAGCTGAGAATCAATATGATTCTTCCAGTTTGGTTTTTGAGATGGATAGAGTATTTGAGAGAATTTACAAGTCAAATGGACACAGATACTCTAGTCTATTTGGAAGTGCTATTTCTTTTAGTAAATCAATACACTAACATTCTGGTTGATATATTAATTTCTTATTGGTGGGGCCGTGAGACTCACTTTTCTGTGTCAGATTACTATTGGGTGGGTCGACAAAAATGATGTTTCCTAAATGACAAAACTAAAAACTAGACTTTAGGTTGTGACAACACCAGCCAAGTGTCACCCACTGAAGACCTATCCTCAGTGGTTATTTGCCCCCCGCAGATAACATTTCTGTACACAATACACTGAATCAAATTAAATTAATACATACTTAAACACCAATGGAAAGGTAGAAGCAAACATATTAATAAAGCATGTTTCAGTTTGCACACTCTTCAGCACATCTGGTCAGTTTCACTTTAACTGTTTTTCTTTTTAACCTATATAAAAGCAATCTGAATGGCTTTTCAAAATTCCCACCAACATTCTTAACACACATTTTATTTAAAAATTGGTATATAAACTGTAGATACTCAAATTCATATATACTTTGCTGAAATAAAATGAAAAGCAAAGGATATTTTTTAAAATAACTATTTGGAATTCACAGAGGATTCCCAACAAGTTGGGACTGAACATAAATATACCAGGGTGCCAAAAAAAATACATCCACATTTTGAAAAATGTTGAGATGTTCGCCATAATCAGAAGTGCCTGAGCCATTGCCTTGCTAAGCTATGGAATGGCCATGTGCTCGCCCATGTGTTCTTTGACCTATGCCAAGCCATGTTTTCTTAAGCTTTGGTCCCCACCCCTCCCTTGGGGAGGTGAATTGCCTCTTTCTCTCTCTCTCTCTCTAATTTACTTTCTAAATAAACCATATTTTCTAATCTAACTTCTGTGTAATTCTTTGCATCTATTATGTGGCATTGGGTTGCACCCCAGACACCCACAATCCCGATGGGCCTGACCTAACATTCTGGAGGCCCCGCTGGGAGTGTGATCCTAACATTTTTGGGAGGTTCCACGAAGATTTGCCACACTTGCTTCTGAGTGACAGCCCCCTTTCCAATCTGTGAAAGGTGAATAATAAACTTTACTTTCTTCTATTTCTTGAAACAAAAGAAGTGTATGGGTGTTTATGGTAACCACTTTGAGTACCTTGTATAATTGCAGAAGCCACACATGACTTGTATTCATCTTTTCTTATCAGTACATATTGAGTATTACAATTTTAATATAATTTTTTCCTTTCTCAAGATGTATACTTTTTTTGGCACCCTCTGTGTATGTGTAAAACAAATCCTTAGACTTGCCTCCTTACTCACAAACAGAGCTATTACCTGGATTTCTATCAAGCTGGGAAGCCAATCTGGTATTCGAATGATCCACTCGTTTTGTGCTAAAGAAAATGAAATATTTTTAGAAATTTTCTTTGCATTTTAAAAATGTTTAATAATTAAGAGCGAGGGAGAAATTGTAGATATTCAAATCCACATTATGAAAATAACTGGAAACATCTGTGACTAATAGTGACAGCGCCTTGGCAGAACACTTGGGATTGGCTTGTTACTCGCATGCCTTCAACACACATCAACACATGCAGTGTGTGGAAAGACACCATGAGTGTACTATGGAAAAAAACTGACCAGGATGAAAAATGTATGCTGCATGTGGTCCTTAGAAAATCACAGAGGATGAAATATTCTTTAGAAGAGGAAGGCACACCTAATCATGCCCAGTGGTACAGTGTTCTTTAGAATAATGGTTCCCAGAATGTTCAGAACTCAAGACTCTTCCAGATTAAAACTATCTTCAAAATAATATTGAGCAGCTATGTGACTGTTTTCACTGTGCTGAGTTTGGGTTCTGAAATAAGAGTTTAAGAACTCCTGTCATAGAACACTATTTTGTGCTAAAAGTTGGCACAGAAGAAAATAATAAGATATAAATTAACACTGAAATTCACTAAAATGGGAAATACCATGCATGGTTTTAGACAAAGAACCAGAGTAAAAATTTCAAACCTACAAACTAGTTCATCGTTTAAAAGGTGAGAGTACAATTTTCACCTATTAAAGATGCCGATTTGTGACGTGTATAGAGAAGCCAGTCCTGAAAATGGTCAATCCATGTTTTAATACATATTAAAAGCCTTTAAAATGTTGATGCTCCATAACTCAATAATTCTCCTTTCAGAAATTCCCCCTTAAATAAAATGAAATTTGACATAAAATAAAAATTGGAGAGATCATATAGCTATCTAGATAAAACTGCTAGCCTAAAGAACTAAGTCTAAATGGAGAACAAACTTCATGCAAAGATTTTCTTTATAAACTTAACTTTGTGAAAAAACAGAAACCACCGATAAAACGTCTAGCTCTTAGAAATAGCCAGCTTTTTCTAAGAAAACTCTATAATATATCTCATTATGACAGTTACAGTGATATAACACTGTATGCATAAAGTTTCAGAGTATTGTTAATGTGAAATAGTTCCAATATCACTGAAAGAGAAAAGATTCCAAAATGAATATATTCAATCAAAACAATGTTTTAAGATACCTTATGAGTTTAAAAACCGATTTTTTAAAAAAGTGGAACCAACCGTGCTGCCCATCGAAAGAGGACTGAATAAAAAAAATGTGGTATATATACACAACAGAGTATTAGGCAGCCATAAAGAAGGACAAAATTATGAACTTCACAGTTCATAATTGTACTCCACATCTTTAAAATTAAAAAATAAACAAATAAATAAAATGAAAAGAACTTTTCCTCTGACTCTTCTATCTTTTATACAAGGGAGGGTCCAAAAATCCAAAATTTATTTATAAAAAATTGTGTATTCATTCTTACATGTTTAAACCTCAGTCACCTTCAAAATACTCTCTGTTTGATGCAATACACCTAGTGAGATGCTTTTTCCACTGCTCAAAACAGTTTTTGAACTCTTCAATGTAGATGCCTTTTAGTGCTGCTGTCATTTTTTGTTTCACTTCTTCCACATCGGCAAAAAGTTTCCCTTTGAGAACTTTTTTCATCCAGGAAAACAAAAAACATCACTCAGGATGAGACTGGGTGAATAGGGAGGGTGGGGCACGGGGCTCATGCCATTTTTGGTCAAAAACTGCTGAACATTCAGTGCAGTGTGGGCAGTGAGCTCATAAATCACTCATCATGAAATGAGCAAACATACTGAAAGAATCTCCAAAAAAAAAAAAAAAAAAATTCACTGAAGCCAATGACAGCCTTTCACAACAATGCTAGCTGGTACACGGATGCCTAGAATACTTACCTAGCAAGAGAAGGTTGTACTACAAGGTGCCCACCCTCCAAAAATATAATTCTGGTTTTTTTGGGTCCCCCCTCATATAATTTTCAAATTTTAAGGATATGTATAAATTTTTAGCAAAAGTAAGTATTTCAACACAACAAATTATGAACCACAGATAACCTCTAGTAATAATGCTGTCAAAAGTTTTTCCTAGGAAAAAAGACAAAGATTGTCTTTCAAGGCCAGGCCTGATAGCTCACACCTGTAATCCTAGCACTTTTAGAGGCTGAGGTGGGAGGATCATTTGAGGCCCAACACCAGCTGTGGTAACATAATGAGACTCCATCTCTGAAAATATAAATTAAAAAACATTACCTTTCCCATGTTTCATTCTACTCACTTATAGTCTCTCTCCCAGAACTTCACAGGTCGAACGTATGAAGTGATGAATATTGCACTTCCCAAAAAGGGGTTTAGTGGAGTAGAGAAGAAGGCTGACACAATAGCCTGAATAAACAACATGGCAGAATCTGCAGGAAAATTAGTTAAGGACACAAACAGTCATCTGAGCAAACACACAATCTCCCAGATACATTTAGATTACAGCATTAGGGAAATGAGACTCACCAGAAGAAAACACAAGAGGGTGTCATGGGCAACACAGTGGATACCAATAGCAAGACACAGTAAGGAAAATTCAGCTTGGCATGATGCTCTGAAGGGGGCCAAGTAAACATTTGCTAACATGTATTTGGTACAAATCCATATATCAATCCCAGTAGGAGATATAGGTTCAACTTTCCACAAAGCAAAAAAGTAAAATTTGTTGATACCATTAAGTCTGCATTTTCAACATCAATGTGGTCACTAAGCCTCACCACTATTTAGAAAACACTTCTAAGAAATGATGAGAAAATTCTGGACAGATACCTAATTACAATTCTATGATGTTTTGTATCTTCATTTATTAAAAAATAGTCCTAAACATATTTTGCATGCATTAAAGATTCCTGTACTTTAACATTCACATATGCAAACATAAAATTTTAAATGAGTACTACTTAATTACAAAACCTTGATACTTTTCTCATGTTCAGATGATCTGTGGGTCACAAATGTTAACACAAGTTAAACAATCCAAATCAGTAGTGGTGTAGACTCAAAAGACTGTGAATTTTTGATAATATATTATACAGTAAGGTATATTCTATGCCTATAAACCGATATTTTTATCAAGGATATCACTGTCCATTTGTACAAAACTTTCATTAGAAGGATACGGGGCACGGCAAAGGGCTGAGCAAAAGCATGGAAGGCGGAGCCCCATGTGATCTGCCACGGTGCAATGTAAGTGTACACGAATTGTAGCTTGTGAAGGAGTTCCCAAAGCTGTCAGAGGAAAAGACCATCAGCACAAAATTTGTGAGATATTTGAATTAGAAAATGAAAATCCTATAAAATATATTTTCTTCCTATTAGGGAAATGGCTTTGAAATTATTTTCATTTGCATATAAATACAGAAACTGCCTAAACACCCTACTTACTTCTCAATATTTAAGACACTATTTTTAAGCAGATTTGTGTTTCATCTGTCTATGCCCTCTACTGGCCATATCACTGCTACTACAAACAAAATACAGAAAGGTACGGGAAACACAAAACAACTGTCCTTGAAAAACAAAACAAAAACAAGATGTCTATAAAGCTTAAGTAATATATACTTACTTTAACCTAAGACACATTTTCCCCAAATTTTAGTGCTTTGGAAACTGGGTATGTTTTAAATGGAATGTCAAAAAGAATGTGAAAAGAGCAGTTGTAATTCAGTTGTCATTGCCTGTCTGCAGAGGAACTTAGTTGTGTGTACTAGGCATCTAATCACAGTCTCAACTATTGTCAGTGGAAACACAATACAAATTCAATCTTATGTAAGGTTGGATCTGTCACTGCTGAGCATATCTTCAATGCTAAAGCTGCTGTGCTTGGAGAACGCCTCTGCCTGGCAGGTGCCACCAAGCCCAAATCTCAAGACAGATCACAGAATCTTAACAGCAGGAAGTTCTGACCAGTTCAGTGCCATGACTAGGCAATAAACACCTCACCCTTCAATATACTTTATCTAATTTACAGATTAACTTACTTAAGTTTAAATGAGTTTAATAAGTTTAAAACAGAAATCACAATTTCAACCAGTTAGAAAATGCAGATAAGCCTGGGCAACACAGTGAGACTCCACCCCTACAAAAAATGAAAAATAAGAAAATTAGCTGAATGTGGTGGCATGCACCTGCCAACCCAGCTGAACTCAGGAGGCTAAGGCTGGAGGATTGCTTGAGCCCAGGAGATCAAGACTGTTTTGAGTTATGATTGTGCCACTACACCCCAGTCTGAGCGACGGAGTAGGACCTATCTAAAAAAAGAAAGAAAGAAAAGAAAAGAAAGAAAGAAAATGCAGATAAACTCCAGTATTCTTTGCCATGACTTAAAATCACACTGACAGTCCTCAGTGGTAGCATGGTCAGGATCACGATCAGTGAAAGCAGCATGGGTGTCATTCTGGTGACACTACAACTACTTAAAAGCAGTGACTCAAAACTTTTCAGATTCTAAATGTAAAATACAATGTACTCAAATTCTGACTATAATATTTTAAAAAAGAATATGCAGTTAAAGAAGCAAGTGACTGATAGGTTATGATATTTTTGTATACATTTTTCTTGAAAGGTTATTAAATCTTACAATAATATCTTAGAATAATGAATATATCCAAAGAAATTCCTTGAGTATTCCTTGCTTATTACAACTTCTAGGTTCTATCTACTGACCAATTTAAATGCAAACTCCTTTAGGGGAAAGCTTTCTCTGCTTTGTTCATTGATATAGCCTAAACATCTAGAACACTTCTGGAAAATGCCACGCTCTCAAAAAAAATATTTAACAAAGGAAAGTATTAAGAAAATCCAAATGAGTGCAGCGTTAAGTGCAGCAACTGTTTTTCAAAGATTGTTTAAATTACATTTTACTTCAACTTTCACTTTCTTCTAACCAGTATCAGAAGATGAAATACAATTTTCAATCTAAATATTTAAATGTGCGAGAAAACACATGCCTCTTTATACAAACAATCCTCTGATTAACTTTCTGGCTTCCCCCTTTGGTTACTAACTATGCTCACTAGAAGAGAAAGTAAATGATGAAAATGCATGCAGATTGGCAGTTGAACAAACATAATATTGAAATAATTTAGAAGCTACTGTTCATAATACTGACAGTGCCTATTAATAAAACCTTGTTCGGATTACTGGCTTTTCATTTTCAATGTTCCCCTCTTACACGTGCTCACACCTGCATTACTGCCACAATCTCTCAAGTTGTTCTCTGTACCTTTAAGTCCTCTCTTCCCCAAATGATCCCAAATAGTATAACCAGGCTACCTTTCCTAAAATTGGACTTGTATTGTGTTTTATACCTGTTCCTTTGCTTCAGTTCTCTTTTACCTATCAAATGGGATAATATACAACCAAGTCCTTTGTATGTGGTCAGTGCTAACATGAAATCTAACTGCTATATAATTTACAAATAATCTCACTGTACAGCCTCTTTCATTTAGAAAGGTAGTGTGGTTCAGCAAAAAGTTCCTTGGATTAGGAGGCAGAAGACCCATGTTTCACTCTCTCATTTGTAAAAAGCCTAAGAGCATCTATCTTATAGGTGAAGAACAAATGTAGAAGCATTCTGTAAAGCTCAGCATGTTCTGCGAACGTCCCGCCAAGCTCGTGTCTGACTGTTCCCAGCCTCCTGTTAGCACCAGTCATCTTCACTGGGCTTCCAGGTGATTATCCCCAGTGAGAATTTGCTTCCTCTAGTTCTCTGGCAGTCCAGAGCACAACTCAATTCTTACCACTTCTATTTCTAAAACTGTTCAAAACCATATCCAATTTGAGAGATTCTATTTATTAAAAATATATATATTTAATATTCCTTTAATTTTCCCATATAACTTAGTCTTATCTTCCTAGCTATAGCACAAAATGTAAAGGTATTCATAAAACTATGAATCACAGTGACTATCTTTGTTTAGGGATTCTAATATGCTCCTACTTAACTGGTTGATTAAAGACAGGTATTATTTAATTAAAAGATCATAGTCAAATGAAACATAAGCATAATCATCACTAAATCACATATCGCTTAGGGAAATATTCCTTTTGGTGATAAATTACCTTGTTGAAGAGGATGGACATGAAGAAGAGATCCAATAGCATGGTCTCTGAAAAGGCTCCATAGTCAAATTTGAAAAAGAGCACAGTAAAGATGATGGTGATATACTGGTATGTGGGACTGCTAAAAGAGGAGCGTAGCAATTTCAGACCAGCAATGGTTATCATTAAAGCACCTAACCTAGGACACAAAGAAAGCACGAGTCATGAGCTCATGACTGAAAAACCTGGCAAGTTTACTAATCTAAAAAATAAAAATCACATTTACTTTACTAAGCTTACTATATATTGATCAAATATAAGCTTCTAAAAATGATCAAAATAGCTAAGCAAATCACATCCTGAAAGAATCTGACTAGAGTAATATTCCATTTTAATAGTATTTATTATGATTCTTATCCTTTGTATGAATAAGCATGTTTAAAAAGTAAACAGTATTGTAATTCTGACATTTAATTTTCTAGTCTCTCAATGTTTCCACTGCTTTAACATTAACTGTATTTAGCATGTGAAAAACCTGTATTAGCGCTTACTCAACAACAGGTACTTACTCTAGTGGGCAGGTCTATCAGATGACCATGGAGGCAACTGACCATCTGTACAGTATAATTTACAAAGGGCATCAAAATAGGTACCTCCCAAGCTTGCCATCTAATATTAAAAGTTAATCTTATTTAATAAATGTCCTCTCATAAAATATTGGTTGACATGAGCTGTCTGCAGTAGTAAATATGCCAATAGCAGAACTAGATATTTTAAAAAGGAAAATGAAAGACAAGCTATCACCTGAACTTTTAATCTCAAGTGCCTTACACCAAAGAGACACTAAATGACTAGATAACATTTGATCAGTAACTGAAGACATTTCCCAGCAGGCAGACTTAGATGAGAGGACTGCTGTACTTACTCTATGTTCAGTTTCTTTGGACTAGCAATTGTCTCTGCACTGCTGCTAAGTTCATTGAGAACAATCAGTGGATAGATGATATTCTTCTCCACAAAAAGAAGCCACACGTGAAGTTTCTCAAACCACATCACAGTGGCTGCATCTAACAAGGCAAGATGAGTCAAGAAAACCATATGTCATCTAATGTATTAAAGTATTTGGCAATGTGATGAAAAAGAAGAATCTTGCAACTCAAATTTAGTTCTATACTATAAAAATGTAAAAAAAAAACCACCCAGTATTTTAATCAACTGTCACCTTCTATGAGCTCTCAGGTACTTATAAATTTGCAACTTAGACATGACTTACATTTAGGTGAGTTTCATTTTAAACTTTAATTCTTGAAACCTTGATTTTTAAACATAATTTTTTCTCATTTATGCTTATAACTTGTGGAGAAAAAATTATTAAAGACTATTAGACTGCTCCCCCCCAGAATAAATGATCTATTGAATAATCTGTTTTTAAAATGCTAAGCTACATATAACACGCACACATAAGATATACTATCTCAGAAGAGATATAAAAATATGATTTGAATTTACACACTTCATATTTTCACTGCCAGTAATATTTTTTTCCAATAATTTAATATTATTTTATTGGGGAAAGTATCTAGGATAAACTCAAAGATTTAAGACATAGTTCTTCAGTTATCTGAAAACAATATCTGGCTTTAAGAAGTTCTCTCATGAGTAATATTTTTTCTTTCAGTTAAAAAAATGTTATGCTGATTAAAAACTTGTAAGAATTTATATTAAATTTTCTAAGATCAAATATAAAGGGAAAATATGATCAATGATTTATTTTAAAGAAAATTAGTGATCTTTAAAACAAGTTAGATTATTTGCCATCATTTATACTTATATGAAAGCAATAACAATAGCTCGTCATAAAAAATTCTGAGTTATTTTACTAACAGGAAAAATGGGCCAGTAGACTCATATAATTTCATGTCATCTCTCCTTATTAAAAAAGCACGTATTTCATAAAAGGTTCACACAGAGCTATTACTGTAAGCCTATAAATTGCTGTTTAATTATCCCTCCAAAATTAAACTGGTGATCAAAATTACATGATACTATGATACTTTAATCAATTTCACTAAAAGGCTTTGATAATGTAGAGTCAAGTTTGTTACAGAAAGTTCTGAAGGTTTCAGAGTTCTCTAAAAAAGTTAATTCATCTTGAAACAGTTGAGTAATTTACCCTCTTTATTATATTCATTAATACAAAAGTTTGAGGAAAAATATTTAATTATTGGTATATAATAAATGATAACATAGGTATGGAATTTATTATTCTTCTAAAATGAGGAAGTACAGTATATTACAGGTAACAAGGCCAGTGAATAAGAATAGGACAACAGGACAGATAAGTCAGGAATTATAACGGCAAGGAAGAAGTTTGGCAAGTGGACTGGCCTTCTATCTCTTTTTATACTGGCCATTTTATACTTTATCCCAAATCTTAACTAAAAATAGCAATTAAAAATATTTTTAACTTCTTTACACTTTATCAATTCTATTATGCTCCTCTCTGGTAGGACAAAGTGTCTCTGGTGGAAACAGGAACAAGAAACTTTATTTACTCCCGATGGTATAAGTTAAAAATATTTCAAATAAAGGCCTTATAGAAGACTGGGTTGCCTTTCTATGGCACGGAAAACTGACTGCAGGGAGAGTTGGGACAGGAAGAAAAAGTCACAGACACACACAAGAAGATTCATCAGTGAGAAGTCTGTGAAGAACAACTCAGAGAAGGATGAAGTAAGTTTTTTTTGTAGAAAGTTGGCATTGTAGCACTGATACCACTTCAGCTATAATTAAAGCAGCCAGTGAGAGATTCAACATGTTAACAGCTTCAAAACAAAGCAAAAGAAACACATGCCAAAGTGTTCCTAGACGATACTTAACTAAGTCATCTATTGGCACAGTAAAGGGAAAGGGGACAATATCGAAAGGAAGAGGGCTATAAAATACTTACTTCGAACTTCATACTGATTATACTCTAGAGTCTTGAGCAGAGGGTGAGAGAAACAGTGCCATGGTAGCTGTTTTCTAACTTGAGGCAGCACATAATGGGTTACAAAACCCACAAAGCCAACCAATGCATATAACACATACTTGAGAGCAGGCTAAAAAAAAAAGTTGAGAAAATTAGGAGTGACTGTTGAGACTCACAGTAGAACTTCTAATCTGTCAGTCAATTTTCCACTTGATGAATAGAGAAGAATGAAGTCAATTCTAGAACTGAAGAACTAAACATTTTTCTACAGTTAACATTTCTATATTATGCAGTTTTTAAAAACATTCATGAAAGGTAGCGACTGTTCATATATCACAAATTCTTTAAAATGTGTTAACTACTTTCTCTGGTGTCTCACATTATTGTTAACAAGAGGGTGGCCTGAGTTGTATTGCCTACCAGGACAAGAACACTCTTCATGACATTCAGAGCAATGTATTAAATTGTTTTAGGTAGCAGAGATAAAGGACATGGGTCGAGGCAGGGGTCACATGGAGCAGTTGGCCATATGCACTGGTTTGCAGTACATGGCTCAGCACACGACTGTGCATCTTACCCCCGGTATGAAGACCCTGACGCTCTGGAGCTGACTGCCTTGATCAGTATCATCCGTGACCATCACCAACCTACTCATCACTGCCAGCAAGAACCCAGCCCCCTCCCCTACCACCCCTTGTGCTTCCCAAAAGGGCCATGTGCTCCTTCCAGGAGAGCATCACCAATGATGCTCTAGGTCTAGAAGCTTGACACACACTTGTGCAAGTCCACATGGCAGAGAACATTTATTTATGAACATGAAGGTTGTGGCAAAGCCTTCGCCAGGGAATAGCACTTGAGTTGACACATCCGTATTCATACTGCAGAAAAGTCATTTGTCAGAAGGATAGAAATGCACCCTAAAATTTATCTTCCTTGCTACCACCAACACCCAAGCACAATGACTAGGAAGCCCAAGGACAAGTCTGTCCAGACCCAACACTGCCGGCCCCATGGATGCTAACCAACAGCTTAAAGATTGGCATATTCAACCCACTGTAGTCATCCATCACTGGTGCCTGAGACCTCCCTCCCCGCCACCTGGCATCCCTGTCCACAGCAAAGCCTCACCACAGCCTCTGTTAACAAGCACAGCTTAAACCACTGAGGGACTCACAGACACCACTAACACCAATTACAGCTGAAGAAATCATGGGGAGACTACACTACTGCGTACACCCAGAATCAAAGCCAACACACCCTAGTTGTTTCTTATATCCATAAGAAACAGTCTTTCCCTCTAAAACCCAATTCATAAAATTGAAAAAAGTGATTGTTACACCAGATGCACAGAAGTCAACTAAACAACACCAGGAACATTAAAAAGCAAGAAAACAGGAGACTTCCAAAGGAACATAATAATCATCCAGTAACAGATATCAAAAAAGAAAATCTATGAAATGTCTGAAAAATAATTCAAAAGAAAGATAACAAGAAAACTCAGTGAAGATACAAGATAACATACATAAATAATACAAAGAAATCCAAAAAATAATTCATGATCTAAATGAGAAATCCAACAGAGATAGATTTCCTTAAACTCTAGAACTAAAGAATTCAATGAATGAAGTAAATAAAAAATTAAGACCTTCAATAACAGATTAGATCAAGAAAAAATTATTTCTAAACCTGAAGACAGGTCTAAAAAAACAAAAAACACTCAGACAAAAATAAAAAGAAACAAAAAAAGAATAAAGAAAGTCTACATGACATATATGACACCATAAAATGACCAAATATCCAAATTTTGGGACTTCCAAAAGAAGAAGAAATGAGCAGTGGCATAGAAAGTCGATTTAATAAGATAATAGCTGAAAATTTCCCAAGTCTTGCAGAAGATATATCCATTCAGATACAGAAACCTCAATGATTCCCAAATACATTCACCTAAAAGGCCTTCTCCAAGGTACATTGCAATCATACTGTCAAAAGTCAGAGACAAAAATAGAATTCTAATAACAGCAAGAGAAAACAGTCAAGTTCCGTACAAGGAAATCCCCATCAGACTGAAATTTCACAAGTCAGGACAGATGGGGTGATGTATTCAAAGTGCCGGGGAGAGGGAAAACTTCCAACTAAAACTACTATACCCAGAAAAGCTATTCTTCAGAAATGAAGTTTGCTTTTTCTGACAAGCAAACCCTGAGGAAATTCCTTGCTGCTAGACTGGCCCTAAATTATTAAGGCACTGCTATAATTGAAAGCAGAAGGATGACAGCTATCATTATGAAAATACATGAAAGGATAAAACACACTGGTAAAGCAGATAGACAAATGATAAAAAAAAATTAATGTTATCACTACAAAAATAACCCACCAAATCAAAAAGGTAAATAACAAAAGGCAAAGGAATAAAATATATACAAAACATTCAGAAAACAATTAACAAAATGACATGAGCAAGCCCTTAGCTATCAGTAACAATCTTGAAGGTAAGCAGTTTAAATTCCCCAGTTAAAAGATATTGACTGTCCAGTGTGTATCCTGATGTCTAAATAGATATATAACATATACTAGCTGATTTTAGACTTTTTTAAAAGACCAACTATATGCTGCTTACAGGAAGCAAACTTCACACACACATAAACTGAAAGTTAAAAAATAAAAAAAAATATTCCATGCAAACAAAAACCAAAATGGGCTTTAAGCCAATAAACATAAAAAGAGAAAAAGAGGGTCAATATATAATAATAAAGAGTCCAACTTAGAAAGGGGATATAAAAATTTTAAATATGTATGCACAGGAGCACCCAGGCATATAAGGCCAAAATTAAAGCTAAAGAGAGAGATAGACCCCAATATGATAATAGTTGGGAATGTGAACACCACAATTTCAGTCCTAGAAAGATTTTCTAAACAGAAAATCAACAAAGAAACATTGGGCTTAGTCTGCTCTAGAGAACAAATGGACCTAGCCGACATTTACAGAACATCAATTTCACCCAGCAGCTGCAGGATATACAGTCTTCCCAAGAGAATATGGAACACTCTCCAAGGATAAACAATATGTTAGGCCACAAAATAAGTCTCAACAAATTCTTCAAAATCAAATTCATATCAAGTATCTTTTCAATCACAATAAAATGAAACTAGAAATACAAAACAAGACCAACTTTGGAAACTGTACAGTCACATAAAAGTTAGACAATATGCTCCTAAAGAAATACTGGGTGAATGAAGAAATTAAAAAGAAAATTTAAAAACTTCTTGAAATAAATGAAAGTACAACATACCAAAACCTATGGAATACAAAAAAAATCAGTGCTAAGTGGAAGTTTATAGTAATAAATGCCTACACCTTTCTCGATTGCCTGGAATACTTTCAATAGGATTGGTATCAGCTCCTCCTTGTATGTTTTGTAGAATTCTGCTGGAAAGTCATCTGATTCAAATAGTTTTGTAGATAGTTTTCTTATGACATAGTCAATTTCCTGGGTTGTTACTGGTCTAGTCAGAGTCTCAATTTCCTCTTGTTTCAACCTGAGGAGGTTGCATGATGTCAGAAAGTCCTCCATTTCATTTAGGTTTTCAAGTTTGTTTCCATACAGGTGTACATAGTAATCTCTGATAATCTTTTGTATTTCTTTGGGGTCAGTTGTGACTTCATCTTTTGCATTTTTGATTGTGTTTATTTGGGCTTTTTCTTTCTTTTTCTTTGTCAGTCCAGCTAGGGGTCCATCAATCTTGTTTATCCTTTTAAAGAACCTGCTTTTGGTTTCATTGATTTTTCTTATCTTCTATGTCCCGAATTTGGGCTTTTATTTTGGTGATCTGGAGTCTTCTGCTCAAGTTAGGGTTTGGTGGTCTTGCTTTTCTAGATTCCTCAGGTGATTTGTTAGGCTGTTAACTTGTGATCTTTCCATTTTCTTCATGTGTGTTCGTAAAGATATGAATTCCCCTCTTAGCACTGCCTTCATGGCATCTCAGAGATTTTGGTAAGATGCTTTTTTGTCTTCATTTGTTTCCAGGTATCTTTTAATTTCTGTTTCAATTTCCATGTTGACCTAGGAGTTGTTTAGCATCATGCTGTTTAGAGTTCATGTCTTTGTGGGTTTTGGGGTAACTTTGTTGGTGTTGATATTTATTTTTATTCCACTGTGGTCCAACCACTGGGGAGAGGAGAACCTATTTAGCAAATGGTGCTGGGAAAATTGGCTGACTTCATGCAGAAGATTTAAACAAGACCCCTACCTATCACCATACACAAAAAATCAATGCAAAATGGATCAAAGATTTAAATGTAAAACCTCAAACCATAAGAACCTTAGAAAATGCAGAAGACACCCTTATGGAAACTGGACTAGCAACCAATTCCTAATCAAAACCCCAAGTGCCCATGCCATAAGAGATAAGATAGACAAGTGGAACCTTATCAAACTGACAAGCTTCTGCAAAGCCAAAGAAACCATTAGGAGAGCGGGGCGACAGCCCACAAACTGGGGAAAAAATATTTCTAAAACATTTTCCAACTTTGTATATCTGACAAAGGTCTAACATTTAGGATCTACAAGGAACTCAAATGTGCTGAAAAGAAAAAAACAGCCCCATTACAAAGGGGGCAAAAGATATAAATAGACACTTCTCAAAAGAAGACATAAGAGCAGTCAACAGATACATGAAAAAATGCTCAGCCTCATTAGTCATCAAAGAAATGCAAATTAAAACTACACTGAGATACCAACCTAACTCCAGTTAGGATGGCCATCATCAATAACTCAAAAACAACAGATGCTGGAGAGGATGCAGCTAAAAGGGCACACTGTTGGTGGGAGTGTAAACTAGTACAAGCTCTGTGGAAAACAGTCTTGCAATTCCTAAAAGATCTAAGAATTGACCTCCCATACAACCCTGTAATTCCCCTACTGAGGAATATACCTGGAGGAACTCAAATCACTCTATGAAAAAGACACCTGCCCACATATGTTTATTGCAGCATTATTCACAATAGCAAAAACATGGAACCAACTGTGCTGCCCATCAAAAGAGGTCTGGGAAAAAATGTGGTACATATTCATGATGGAATATTACACAGCCATAAAGAAAGATAAACTTACAAACTTCATAGCAACTTGGATGTACTTAGAGTCTATAATACTGAGTTATCTATCACAGAAGCAACCAAGTATCACATGTTCTCACTCATAAGTGGACCTTGAACAACTATCATAATACTATAAGAAAGGAATTGGCAGTAGTGAGAAACTGCCAGGGGAGGGTGGGGGCAGGATTGGCAGTAGTGGGAAACTGCCAGGGGGAGGGCTAGGGCAGGATTGGCAGTAGTGGGAAACTGCCAGGGGAGTGGGAGGGAGGGGGCACATCTCATCAATAAGGGTACCTGCATAAAGAACATTTGTATACCTAACCCTGAATTGTACCCCACATATTCAAAATAAAAAATAAATGCCTACATAAAAAATGTAGAAAGAGTTCATATAAACAATTTAATGAAACACCTCAAGGAACCAGAAAATCAAGAACACACAAAACCCCAAATTAGTAGAAGGAAAAAACAATATATATCACAGCAGAACTAAATGAAATAAAGTCTTAAAAAAAATACAAAGGATCAACAAAATAATCACATTAAAAAGTGAGAAGGATCTGAACAGATATTTCTTAAAATAAGACATACAAATGGCCAATCTGAAAAAATATCTTCAACATCACTAATCATCAGGGAAATGCAAATTCAAGCCACAATAAAATGTCATTTCACTCCAGTTAAAATGGATGTCACTAAAAAGAAAAAAAATAACAAATGCTGGCAAGGATGCCGAGAAAACTCTTATATGAGGAGGGACCTCCCCGCCAAAAACCTGAAATTATCTTTTGGAGGGTGGGACCCTTGTAGTACACTTGGAATTTACTCCTCCAGATCAAATGGTCAGCCAAACTTTTTATCTGGAAGTTTTGAGAAGGTTGTGCCACGATTTAAAGCTGTGGCAAACAGGTGACTGGTTCTTCCACCATGATAATACATCTGCTCGCATCAAGGGCAGCAGTTTTTGAATGCAAAGGAAAACATTTTGCTGATGTGGAAGAGGTGAAACAAAAAATGGCAGAAGCATTAAAAGACATCAATGGATGAGCTCAAAAACTGTTTTGAGCAATAGAAAAAGTCTTGATAGGTATATTGCATCAAACGAAGAGTACGTTGAAGGTGACTGAAGTTTAAATAAGCAAGAATAAGCACACAATTTTTATAAATAAGTTCTGGGTGTTTTTTTTTTTTTTTTGGTCTCTCCCTCATTCATTGTTGATGGGAATGTAAATTAGTATAGTCATTATGGAAAACGGTATTGCGGTTTCTCAAAAATCTAAAACTTGAACTGTCATATAATCCAGCAATTCCACTATCAGGTATTTATCCAAAGGAAAGGAATCAGTATATCAAAGGGATATCTGCACCTCATGTTTACTACAACACTATTCACAACAGCCAAGATACAAAATCAACCTAATTGTCCATCAATAGATGAATAAATTTAAAAAATGTGGTATAAACAATGGAATACTATTCAGCTATAAAAAAGAATGCAATCCTGTCATTTGCAGCAACATGGATGAAATTGGAGGTAATTATATGAAGTGAAATAAGTCAGGCAAAGAAAGACAAATATCACATGTTCTCACTTATGTGGGGGAGCCAAAAGTGCATCTTGGATGTAGAGAGCAGAATAATAGATACTGGAGCCTGGGAAGTAGACAGGTGGGGATAGGAGAAGACAGACTGGTTAATGGGTATAAACATACTGTCAGAAGGATAAGTTATAGTGTTCAATAGCACAGTGGGATGACTATAGGTAACAATAATTTATTTTATATTTCAAAATAGCTAGAAGATTTGAAATGCTCTCAGTACAAATTGAAGAGAGGGATACCCTAGATACCCTAATTTGATCATTACAAATTGTATGAATATATCAAAATATCACATGTATACCATAAGTATGTACAATTATGTATCAATAATTTTTAAAAAATAAAAAATGTTTAAAAAGGACACTGCTAAGTAAACTAAGCCTCAGAGATGCAAAGAACACAATGAGAATAAAGCCTCTTTTGTGTCTTTGCATGGTATGTTACCAAATGAGAATTCTCCTGTGTAAAAAAATTCCCAAAAGATAGACTCGAGTACCATCTCTTCAAGTGTTTAAATTAAGTCATACACGTGGAATCTCTGGAGCCTCATGGACGTGAGAGAGCCTCCATCTGTGCCCTTGAGACTGGACCTTACTTGGTTTGCAAGTGTTCAGAAATTAATAGTTCAAATTGGAAGAGAAAAAAAACAGGCAAAAATGTTAAGTGAAATTAAATAATTAAGCCTTTGCTTCTGGATACATGGAGTAACAGAGATTTACCCTTCAACATGAAACAACAAAAACAGAATAAAATATATGACTCAACGGCGTGCAACAGATGAGACATAAAGAAATAAGCTGTGAACCCTGAAGAAAAGGGAAACAGTGAGGTGAGCATGAGGACTGCACTCATGGGGTGGAGTCTCCAGACAACGTAGGGAGGGAGTATCCACGTCAGGCTGCATGCGCTGTGGGAAAGCGATGGAGCTGAAAGACTATAAAGACCAAGTGGTTGGAGTTCTCTGAAAGAGATGGTGGCCAAAGAGAAAACGGCTCAGGAGAGAACTCTGGAGACATGCCAAGGGCCTGTGAGTGTGCAGGGAAATACAACCAGGCATGAGTGGGAGGAGCCCCAGGAGGCCAGAGAAGGAGGTCAAGGAAGGGTTAGAGAGGGGCATCTGCACTCCCACAGTGAGCCTGGGAAAGCTCAAGATTCACAGGGGACAGGGTTAAAGTACTGAAAAGGATATTGTCTAAGGAGAGGGAGGTGTTAACTGTGAACTAAACATGGCTCTTGTTCCACCTCAGCAATCTTAAAAGAGAGACAACAAAGGATCCAACTATTAATAAGTAACTTAGACGCACACCATAACAAACTTCAAGAACATTTCAAGAAATCAAAAAATACATACACAACTAACAAGGCAAAACTTATACTGCTTGGTACTCCATCAAAATTTACCAAGAACACACAAAATCAAAAAACAACAACCCATAGTGAGAAAAAAAAAAATCGGTGAGTACCAATCCATTAAGTGACACAGATGCTAGAATTAGTGGACATGGACATTAAGAGTTACAACTGAATTCCATATGTTTGAAAAGTTAAGTAGAGGCATGGGAGATATTTTTTAAAAGACCTAAGTCAGACTCTAAAGATGAAAATGATAAGTTCTGAGATAAAAAATGCAATGAATGAAATATATGGTGGATTATACATTGCAGAAGAAAAGGATAGTGAACTTAACGACTCATCATAAACCAGAAACTCTTCAAAATGTAACAAAACACACAAAAAACAGTTAAAATGAACAGAGTGTCAGTTACTATAGGACACTTCAGAAGGCCAGAGATATTCATAATCGGGGTCCACAATTATAAGGTGGGGAAGGGGTGGGGAGGAAGAGGAGGGAAGAGAAGCATCAAAAGCCATAATGGACATAATTTTCCACATTTAATGAAGACAACAGACCACAGATTCAAAGAACCTCAAGCATAAAAACATGAAGGAAAGTACGTGAAGGTATATCATAAACTACTCAAAACTAGTGATAAAAATAAAATCCTACAAGCAGCAGAGAAAAAAGATGAGCTCCCCACCAGAAGAGTAGAGATACTTCCATGTGCAAGTAAGAAAGCCAGGGAACAACAACACCTTAGGTACTACAAGAAAAAAATTGTCACCATAGAACGTTAGATCCAATGAAGCATCGTCCAATACCAATGGTGAAATAAGGACTTCTTCTAAGATACAAAAACCTGAAAAAAACTGTAGATTCACACTATAAGAAATGTGCTAGGAAATCCTTCAGTAGAAGGAAAAAGACATCACATGGAAACATGGGTCAACACAAAAGAACGTAGGCAACAAACACAGTGATTCCATGGACTACGAATGAGACAAACTGCTTGAGGAGCCTCGCCCACACCTGATGCTGACTAGATGATAAGGCTCTAGAACTCCTGCTTTCCTTTGTAATGAGAGTTCCTGGGGCTTAGGAGGGAGATGCTCATTTTGCCTACGGGAGGGGTGTGAATCATGGCAGCCAGAGGGTGGACTGCCGAAGTTGGCCTCCAAAAATGGTACCAATGATCCTGGGCTCCTGGCATTCAAAGCAGTGTATATCTCCTTACCACAACGGACCTGTGTCCAACAAAATATGGACGAAGTGGTAGCATGACATTTCCAATATCAGATGAAGAATACAGCTTCTGTCTTGGGCTTTCTCCCTCAAGGATCACTTGCTCTGGGGGAAACAAGCTACCATTTTGTGAGGACACCCAGGCAGCCTGTGATAAGGGCCACATGGAGCGAAACTGAAGGCTGCACACAATGAACCTCATATGACTGCAGCATCACGGAAGATACTGAGCTAGAAGCAGCCAGCTAAGCCACTCCCAGATTCACAGCACAGAGAAATCATGACAAAGTAGTATTTGTTGAAAAACATCAAACAAACCGTCATGTATTTCAGCAATATGGACAAACGTTACAATCAAACCAAAAATAAGCCCACACAAATGTATAATCACGAGACATTTAATGACAGGATTTGCTCTGAGAAATATGTTGCTAGGCAATTTTATCACTGTGCAAACATCAGAGAACACTTACACAAACTTAAGAGGCACAGCCCACTATACACCTAGGCCATAGGGCAGAGTCAATTGCTCCTGGCTACACACCTGCACAGCATGTTACTGTACCAAATACTGCAGGCAACTATAACACAATGCTAAGCATTTATGTATCTAAATATTTCTAAATATAGAAAAGGTACAGTAAAAATGTGGTATAAAATTTTTTTCAATGATCGACTTGTATAGGGCAGCTTCATTATAATCTTATGGCACCAAAATTGTAAACTCAGTCTGTCACTGACTAGAATGCTGTTATGCAGTACAAGACTGGACTTTCCCCAACTAAACGAACAAAATGATGTCTTACCTGGAGTACTGTGAAGACTGTGCTTACATGAATAGCAAAATACAGCACACCAATTACAATGCATACTACTAGGTCAGACTGTAGACGCTCACTCTGTGCAACAAAAAAAGAATTATTAAACAATTACGTAAAAATTTTTAAAAATTTTTTCTCTATTCACAGTTTGCAAAGTTTAAGAAATCATTTTTGCCTGGCTAGTTCAGTCGATAGTAAAGAAAAAATAATAATAATTTTTCACTGATACTCTCTATACTTCTAAATATTTCTTACACGCAATAATTAGTTACACTAAATCTTATTTTCTTCCTCAACTTCCTCATAGTTTTGTTTTGACACTATAAAACCAAGGAAACTAAATAACTTATCTAGTTCTGCATGCTGTATAGCATATCACAATGAAGTCTTTTACAAATGAAATTTTATTCCTTCATTGATCTGTTTTACTTTTATACAGAAAGAAAGAAAATAAGCTACCTTAAGTTATCATATCTTTTTTTTTTGGACCGAGTCTCACTGTGTTGCCTAGGCTGGAATGCAGTATTCACAGGTGCGATCATGGTGCACTGCAGTCCAGAACTCCAGAGCTCAAGAGGTTCTTCAGCCTCAGAATCCTGAGAGGCTGAGATTATAGGCACATACTACCACACTCAGTCACAGGGTGATTTATAGGGATAGCCCTTTGGAGAAGTTATATTTTCACTGGTCTTTTGACATACTGAAACTGTGTACATATGTCCTTTTTTACTTTCTAGATTTGGGTTCCTTCAAAAGTGGTGATAGTAAAAACCTCTTGAAATTGCTGGTCATCAGCTGACCAATTAGATTTGTGCTTGTAAGCTAGATTCAGAATATCTTACTAAACTTAATATGAAATATCTTCTGTTAACATGGAAACTAAAACCAGAAAAAAAGTCTGTCTAAATTCTATTTTGAGGTAGTTTTGTATTTCTAAAATTTTCTAAAGAATATGTGAACAAGCCGGGCTCGGTGGCTCAGCCTGTAATCCGGCACCTTTGGGAGGCTGAGGTGAGTGGATTGCCTGAGCCCGCGAGTTTGAGACCCGCCTGAGCAAGCGAGACCTCATCTCTCAATATATCAAAAAATCAGCCGGGCGTGGTAGTGCATGCCTATAATTCTGGCTACTTGGAAGGCTGAAGCGGAAGGATCGCCGGAGCCCAGCAGGTCAAGACTGCAGTGGCCAGGAGCGGCCACTGCACTCCAGTCTGGGCGACAGAGTGAGACTCCAACTCAAAAAAAAAAAAAAGAATATGTGAAGAGCTCAAGTTCACAGTAAATATGTCTAATTCAACATTCAAAAATCCAGTGTTTCACAAATGGGCATGATCTAAAAAAAAACTGAGAGAAATGTTTTGTTTCATTCCACAAAACAGACATGAATCTATAGAATTCATTTTTCAAATAATTACTAAAATAATGTAAACAGCATTGCAATTTAGAAATTTTAAAACATTACTGCATTTACTTAAGAATATTAAGTTAACATATTGTTCTCTCCTTCAATCTGGAAAACACACACACTTTTCAGACTGTCCTTGAGAAATAAAACACCCTAAAAGACTAATAAACAACCTTATTCTTTCCACAAAAATAATAACAATAAAATGAATATAGTTAATGTTAATATTGCTCTTTCAGATTCTAGTCTAAATTGAATAGGAATAAAAATTCTATGACCAATGAAATTAATTAATTTTATCTAACCTAAAAATAAATGTTTAGCATTCTGTTCCACATAGAAACCAAATATGAGAAATTAACATCTCTTACATGTTAAAATTTGGAATAAAGACAATTCACAATGTACAGCTGATCCTATAAAATATAACTATACATTTTTCCCCAATTACTAAGACTTTCAGAAGATGTTCATCATATAACATGACCAACTGTTTAAAATGTAGGTATTCTAAAAACTTACAACAGAATTTCTAAGTTTTTCAGGCAGTGGATCTTTTACTTCAGATAGAGGGTCTTCTGGATTTTTCTCTTCTGTTTTTGGAAAAATCTTGGATTGCACCAAAGAGCTTTACATTAAAAAATAAGAAAAAATAATTAATAGAAAATACATAAAAAGCTGAAAACCTATAAATGGCCAATAAAGTTTATGACAGAAACTAAGTAATCCAAGTAATCATTAGCAAACAATAAATTTTGAAATGTTTAAGATACCATAAATAAAGCTGGGCTCGGTGGCTCAGCCTGTAATCCTGTGCCTTTGGGAGGCTGAGGTGAGTGGATTGCCTGAGCCCGCGGGTTCAAGATCCGCCTGGGCAGCGAGACCTCGCCTCTACAATAAATCAAAAAATCAGCCAGGCGTGGTAGCGCATGCCTGTAACTCCGGCTACTTGGAAGGCTGAGGCGGAAGGATTGCCGGAGCCCAGCAGGTTGAGGCTGCGGTGGCCGGGAGCGGCCACTGCACTCCAGTCTGGGCAACAGAGTGAGACTCCAACTCAAAAAAGAAAAAAAAAAGATACCATAAATAAGTATACAGCAAAAATTATTTTTATTAAAATATAGTTTCAATAGTCGGAAGGGGGCAACCCCTTGGGGTCCCCTCTCACTGTAGGAGCTTTTCTGTCTTCTCAATAAATGCTGTTTTCTAAAAAAAAAAAAAAATAGTTGGAAGGAAAAAAATTAACAAACTAACACACACTTTCAGCTGATATGGTTAGAATAACCCAAAGTTAATATATTTTGAAACCTAACATAGATTAGGCTGATAGCACTTTGGGAAGGCACTGGGTAAAGGAGATCTTGGAAGCTAAACACCAACTTATTTAAATGTATTTAATTCACTTACAAAAGTACAGATGGGTCACTGCTCTGTCGACTGAGATGATAGGACACTGCCACCAACAACCCACAAAAAATGGAGAAAAGTACAGGAATATGCTGGCCATCCCAGGAGTCCTGTTGAAAAAAATTAACAGAATAACATCTTTCTAATTTATAATCTATCATATACTCCTTTTATGTCAGTATGATGGAGAAAGACAATGAACTAAATTCAACAAACATTTTAGCCACATTAATAGTTGCATTTTATTCCAGAAAAGTTTAATTTACTATTGTCTGATGAGCTAGAATTAGCTGCTAGATTTCTTCTGGTACTAAAGCTCTATTCATATACTAAGAATAATTTGCTTTTGATGCACGTTGCTATCATTCAGATTTTAAGTAGTTTTAAGTTTACATTAAGTTGTATATCTTGGTATAGTAAATTTTATGTTATGTGCAATAATGGAGTAGAAAAAGACAGCTCGACACAGCTCATTAGACAAAAGAAGAAGCTTATTCATGGCAGGCTCCTTTCTTGATGGTGCTGCACATGCAATACACCATCACGTCCTCCACGCACTGAGCAGGCGTCAGTAACTGTTCCTGCCTGAGTGACTGCTTATCCCAGGAGAAAGAACATGGAGGCTAGTGCCCATGGTGCTGTCCACTTGGCATCTCAGGAGCCATGAGCACGACACCCGGCACAAGTGCATACCACGTGAACAGGAACCACCAACAGTTCTCAAGCATGTCCCATGAGGCAGAAACCATCTATCCTTCATCTTTCTCTAGGGATTCAGAAGAAAATGGCAGGAATGGGGAGCCAAACAGTAGTTCTTCCCACAACTTGCCTTTTTCCCACTTAAAAACAGACTTAGAAATTGCTCCATATCACAACATGGGTATTTTATTATCACAGTGAACATTGTTTAGAGGTGCATCTTTAGATCTTTGTATTTCCCAAATTATATTAATTGCCCTTGAGCATATGTATTATTCTTTCCCAATTTATAGATAAGAAAACTCAGGCACAGAAGGTTAAGTTATTTGTCCAGCTAAGCAGTGAAGCCAGAAACTGAACTTCTGATGTGTTGAATGCAGTGAAAGGAGAGTTAAATAACATCTCAAGAGACTGAGAATGAAAGAGAGATATATACTTAAGAAAGAAAAGTAAAGGAGAACAAAATGAAGGCAGAAGGAGCCTGAGCAATGATAATGGTGACCACAGCAGGCAGTGAGGAGGCAAGAAGCTGTGTGTGGTGAAGGATGCGACGAGAAAAGGAAAACCCACAACTTCCACACAAGGCAGGCCATGGAGACAGCTGGACACTGAAGAAAGCGCAAGAAGTAAAAGCTTGGTAGATCTATGGAGGTAAATATCAAAGAAACAGTTCAAGCTGTTGACAGTAATAAGTCAGAGGAAGGTTAAGGAGAGGGAAATTGCCGCTCTTGATAAGAACTATTTGGCTCTAAAATATGTATGTAGAACATTGATTAAAAAATAAAACAAAGCCAGGTTCGGTGGCTCAGCCTGTAAATCCCGCGCTTTGGGAGGCTGAGGTGAGTGGATTGCCTGAGCAGGTTCGAGACCTGCCTGGGCAACTTGGCGAGACCTCATCTCTACAATAAATCAAAAATTAGCTGGGCGTGGTAGCGCGCACCTGTACTTCCAGCTACTTGGAAGGCTGAGGCAGAAGAATCGCCGGAGCCCAGCAGGTCAAGGCTGCGGTGGTGGGAAGCGGCTACTGCACTCCAGTCTGGGTGATAGAGTGAGATTCCAACTCAAAAAAAAATTAAATTAAATTAAAAAATAAAACAAAAGATGGCCAGTACAACCACTTCGGAAAACTAGCAATTTCATTTCTAGGTACTTACCTAAGAAAAAGGAAAACATGTTTTCTTACACAAGAATATTCACAGCAGCCCTATTCATAATGTCCCTCAACTAGAAGGAACTCAAATGTGTGTCTCTAAGTCAGTAAACTGTGATATAGTCATACAATGTGGATAAGAAGGATTAGAAATTAAGTGGTAATACTTCTCTGCCATCAAAAGAAACAAACTTCTGATGCACACGGTGTGGGTGAGTCTTTACAGGATTACAGTCAACAAAGTACATCAGATACAAATGAGACAATTTCATTTATAAGAAGTTCAAGAATTGCAAACCCAATCTACAATGAAAGAAATAGGAATAGCGTGGGGACGGGAGAGAGAGGAAGAAACACAAGGAAATTTTCTGAGGTAATGAAACTATTTTATATCTTGATTAAGAGTATAGACTTGGTGAAGTCGTATGTGTGTGTCCAAATTTGTCAAACTGTGTACTTAAAATATGTAGATTTTACTGTATGTTAGTTTTGTCTCAACTCAAACAAAACAAAACAAGTATTTAGGAAAAAAACTAAAAACGTCTGTCTTTATTTGACAAATATTTGACACTACTTATCACTTTCAGACGAAAGAAGAGCATTCTTAAGTTTATTACAAAATGACTTTTTTATTTAAATTAAGAATTTAGAAATATCATGTATTGGAGGCAATTCATGAATACCTCCTATTGTCTGCTTCTCCCCCAAATTCATATGTTGAAATCCTAAAGTCCAATGTGATGGTATTCGGAGGTAGCACCTTTGGGAGCTAATAGGTCATGAGGACAGAGCTGTCTTGACTAGGATTAGTGTCCTTATAAAAGGAACCCCAGAGGGCTTTTTAGTCCTCTTTCCACCATGTGAGGATATAATAAAGTGGCCATCTGCAAATGAGAAGAGGGCCCTCACCAGAACTTGACCTGCCAGCAACCTGATCTCAAGACTCCAGAACCATGAGAAATAAATATCTGTTGTTGACAAGCTACCTAGGATACATTACTTTGTTATAGTAGCCTTAACTAAGACATCACCTTAACTTACAGATTGTACAAAAATTCATGGTAACTACTACCTCTATTGAATCACTAACTAGAAGTACAAAGAACAAAACAAAACCCAGCTGCCTTTGAGTTCTTTTTTTTTTTTTTTTTTTTTTTTTTTGGGGTGGAGTCTCACTCCATCATCACCCAGTCTGGAGTGCAGTGGCACGCTCACCGCCACCCTAGTGTTGCCCTGCTGGGCTTCGGTAATCCTTCCGCCTCAGCCCTCCAAGTAGCCATAAACACAGGCACGTGCTACCACACCCAGCTAATTTTTTTTTAATTTATTGTAGAGATGAGATCTCACCATGTGCCCAGGCTGGTCTTGAACCCACAGGCTCAGACAATCCTCTCGTCTTGACCTCCCAAAGTGCTGGGATTACAGGCTTGAGCCATCGTGCACAGCCTGCCTCTGAGTTCTTAATGATTCTGATTCAGAAGTGGAAGATGGAACAGAAACTTTGAAAAACAAAACCGCTTAGGGAAGCTGGCCTAGAACAGATTAAAACATGGATCTGTTTTACCCACTGTAGTGGGCCTTGACTTTCTCTAAGATCTAAATGTTTTTACTTTTATTATATAATGACCCAAATCTCTAAAAAAAATAAAAACATCTGGGAGGATTATACATATTAATAGGATGCATAAGAATGATCTTAAAGAAAAATTTTTATTTCTAGTGAGGTAAGCATCCTGCTTTTAAAAATCTCAAGGAAAAACAAGAGTAAATACAAGAAAAGCAGATGTCACATTTTAAAAAAAACCTATATTACTGAGTAAATGAAAAAAAAGTAAACAATTCCTAAAGGTATGCAATACAGTCTCCAAATAACTCTTAATTCTTCAAAAGTAATACTGTTTTCAATTTCTTATGTATTCTTCAATAATTATTCTAGGTAGCTACAAGTCTTTGAATGTGCTTTTTAAAAAAGCACAAATTTTATGGCATAGTGCCATCCTGTTAAACACACACACACAAAATACTATGTCTCAGAGGTCACATCACATTAAAACTGTGTTTAATTCTTTTTCATTACTGTATAGTATTTCTTTGTATGGCTATACTCTCTAATTAATTTAACCAGTCACAAATGGTAGATATTATGTCATTACCAGTTACTGCTGTTACAAAAACAGATTTAATGAAATCCTTGTATAGACAAACCTCAGAGATGTTGTGGGTCTGGTTCCAGACCACCACAATAAAAAAGAATATTGTAATAAAGCAAGTCACTGAATTTTTTGCTCCTCCAGTGCACACAAAAGATATGTTTATACCATACTAGTCTATTAAGTGTGCAATAGCATGATGTCTAAAAGACAATGTACATACATTAATTTAAAAATACTTTATTGCTAAAATATGCTAAGAGTCATCTGAGCCTTCAGCAAGTCATAACCTTTTTTGCTGGTGAAAGATCTTGCCTCAGTGTTGATAGCTATTCACTGATCAGGGTGGTGGCCTGGTGAAGGTTGGGGTGGCTGTGGCAATTTCTTAAAATAAGACAACAATTAAGTTGGCCACACGGATGAATTCTTCCTTTCAAGGATTTCTCTGTACCACGTGATGCTGTTTGATAGAATTTTACCCACAGAACTGCTTTCAAAACTAGAGTCAATCCTTTCAAATTCTGCTAATGCTTTACCAACTAAGTTTATGTCATAGTCAAAATCCTTTGTTGTTACCTTCAACAATGTTCACAGCATCTTCACCAGGAATCAGTTTCATCTCAAGAAACCACTGTTGTTGCTCATTCATAAGAAGCAACTCCTCATCCATTCAAGTTTGATCATGAAGTGGCAACAATTCAGTCACATCTTCTGGCTCCATTTCTAATTCTAGTTATCTTGCCAGTTCCACCACATCTGCAGTTATTTCCTCCACTGAAGTCTTGAAACACCCCAAAGTCATCCATAAGGACTGAAATCAACTTCTTCCAAACTCCTGTTAATGTTGATGTTTTGCTTAACTAAAACCCCAAAGAAACTGCTTTTAAGTCACTAATATCTATTAATTGCTAAATTCAGACTCTCCTGTCTCTGAAATTTCCTTGTGTGATTTTTGGCATATCAAACACTGAAATACTGGCATTTCCCAGAGTTTTTTCCTCATCCATTTTACAGTGTCAATCCACATTAGCATTATTTTTCTTTTATGCTTTACTTAATTTTGTTGATAATCTGTAAATGCATTAATCACTACCTCGAACCTCTCTACACAAAACTGCCTAGTGTGCTTCTCTAGATACCCCATGAATATCAACAAATAAAGTGTCCAAGTGTAAACAACCATCTTCCTCAACAAACTCCACGGTTTCCAATCCTGTGCATTATATCACTAACCATCCGCCTGCTCAAGCCAAGCCCCACCCAGAAGTCATCCTAGATCCTAGTCTTAGGCATTTTTCTCATTGTCTAGATAGTCCCAAAATATATTCATGAAATTCAGTTGTAGCACAGTCTCTCATAATTCCAAGATGAGATGATCTCCAGACTTTGATGCTGCCTGCTTAGACCTCCATCTCCTTCATGTGGAGGAAGTCATCTTTCTAAAATGTAACTCTAGTCCTTTCCTTGCTCCACCTCAAATCCTCTGATGGTTTTCTACCTCACCCAACACCTTCAGTATAAAAGACACTTCAGAGTCCAACCTCTGCTGGTCTTTCCCATGTACTAAAGCCTCCAGCAACTCCTAATTATTTGCTATTTCCCCTACATGTCACATTTTATTTTCAACTCTGCGGCTCTTCGGTCCTTGTTCCAATTAGCTGATGCCTATTTGTCCTTCAAAATAAAGTCATCCTCCTGGGAAATTGCCATTAATCCCTTTTGGCTGAATAAAATAGTCTTAATTTGTATATCCCCAGCACTCTTTCATAACCACCATTATCCTGTATTGAACATGTTGGGTTGACTTGTTAATCACAGCAAACCTATAAGCTCCTTAAAAGCAGAAAATGGCTTATAGCACAGTGCTTGGCACACAGTAAGTACTCTACAAATGCCACTTAATAAAAGGTGAGGAAGGATGCTGGGAGTCACTCTTCATAGTCCTTTCAACCCTACCATTCTCTGAGTGTCCTGCAATCACCATAAAAAACAAAAACTAAAAGCATGTGTGAGGTGTTAAGAGATATCTAGAAAAACTTTTAAATTTTTATGATTACAATTTGGTGACAATCTTTTAATAGGTACGTCCAGATCTTCTAACTCAATCATGACATTAAATTAGCAGTATATTACTTTTTAGCATGTATCTTCAATTGTAGTCCTTGATCTTGTTTTTATAAGTTTAAAGAAACCTTGATATGAAAAGCAGTTAAATAAATTATTAACTATAATTCTAAAATTAATGTCGTATTCTTTAATGACCATGCCTACCCTATGCCAAATGAGCCAAGTTTCTGGTCATCATAGGTTCTAACAGTGACCTGGGATTGCTGCATGGAAAAGACTTTCCTTTCAGCAATGGTGAACTAGCAAATGGCTTTCAAATTCCAAGTGAGAATAAGAATTATGCTCAGCAGAGGAAGATCACAGAAACGAATGCTTTAGTGACAATAGAGTAAAAATCCCAACTCGACTCTAAAACAGGCTTTCTGCAGTAATCCGGCCTCCAAGACATACACCCCAACTCGCGGCTCACCTTCAGGGCTCCATAGCACAGGCCGTACAGCAAGGCCACAGCCACTACACTACAGAGGCAGCTGTATAGCGCCGCAAGCAGGCTCGTCGTGGCTAGACAGCAGAGGGAGGAAGAAATCAGTGTTTCATAAACATTGATGGAAAAATAGTGAAGTTCACTGAAAAGCATTTCAAATGTTACAATGTTGACTATAATTAAATATCTATTCCATTTCATTTAAAAAATTCAGTTACTTCACCCTCTACTTCCAAAAGAATTGCTATCTTCAATCTCTATTACAGGATAAAAAAAATTCATTTTGGAAGTTCTGAACATTTATATGTAGGAACAAAAATTATCTTATACTAACAAAAAATATGGGAAAATGAAGCTTTCGGAGACCTGAAAGGAACTGGAGATGTATTCAGTTTATTCACTGTAAGATATTTGTCTATGTAAACAGAACTTGTGCTACCCACAGAAGCAAATATGCATTACCATGTTTTATTAAGGTTTCACAAAAAAAGATCTGACAATAACAACAACAAAAAATCCAATGGATGATGATGATGATGATAATAATAATAATAATTAGAAATAAGAAATAGGGGATGGATAAGATAACGATTTTATTTTTAAAATATAAGTGACAGATTTTCTTTAATGGTAATTTTATATAATGATCACAGAAGAAATCTATAGGAAAAAATCTTTTTAATATGAGATAAGAAAAACCTAATACCTTGCACAAGTTTGTAAATTATAATGTGACAAAGCCCACTATTATAAGTTACCTACACTAAGACCTCCCCATAGCATTTAGACTATCTTAGCACCAATAACAGTACCTAAATACTGAAACTGTCTTCTACCCATTAAGCTATACTGACTGATGAACCAGCTCTGTCTTAATTCACACCTGCTCAAAAGAATTTCAAAAGATTTAAAAATGCTCTAGTATGACATACAGTAACACAGAAAAAGATCAATTTCTATTTAAAATTAAAGTCATAAGATCAACATTTCATCAGCAGAGAGGATTTCCACATACTTGGAGATAACTGAGGTCTGCACATGTCAAGTGTGAAGAGAAAAGGACAATCCTACTGTCATTTCTTTCCCTTTTATATCCTTCCTCTAGCTGTATATTCATCATTTAGTACAATCTTAAATGGTTAAATTAATAATGGCACACTTTAATCATGGTGGCTGTCGACAGCATTATTTTTAAGTTCTGCAAAACATGATCTATTCCAGAGTAATATTGATATGGTCTGACTTATTTTTTAAGTTAAAAAAATATATGATAGGGGGATAAGTTTTTTGAACTATATCAATTCATATCCACATGGTCTTCTCTACAGAGATACTCCTTGAAAGTTTTTTTAGTAAAATGCTTTCAGACTCTAGTTTTGATGTTCCCTTTTTTTTTTTTTTTTTTTTTAAGTTGGGGCTGCACTATGTCGCCCAGACTGGAGTGCAGTAGCATAATCACGGAGCCTTGAACTCCTAGGCTCAAGTGACCCTCCCTCCTCAGCCTCCTGAGTAGCTGGTACTACAGGCACACGCCACCATGCCCAGTTAATTTTTTGTAGAGGTAAGGTCTCACTATATTGCCCACGCTGGTCTTGAACTCCTGGGCTCAAGCTATCCTCCCGCCTCAGGCTTCCAAAATGCTAGGATTACAGGCATAAGCCACCATAGCCCATCCTTGGTGTTCCCATTCTAAAGATAAAGTAAAGCTCTAAAATCAATACAAAGACATGCCAAATGCACACACTAGTTTAAAATCCAGATATACCGTGTATCAAGCCTAAATCTATCTAGTATAGGTGATTTTTCATAGGTACCTTATAAGCACATAGAGGTTCCATGTAAATTCACTCTAACTTTTAGTTTCAACGTTATTTTATCGTTTCTTACACACCTACTCTGTTAGTCCTGAGTTTTTTCGACAGGAGCAAGCTTGACTACTTTTTCCTATCTAAAATTAATTGCTTCTCAATCTTCAATTATTAAATATTTCTTTAAAATTTTAATTCTGAAATGAAAACTGAAAAAGCATTTTAATGGTCAGTTTATTACTTCATGGACTACTGTAATCTATAATTGTTATAAAGAAATACTTACCATTACCACCAAAGATATGAATATCCAATTGTTCACAAAGGTACATTACAAATGTATTCACCTGAGGCAGGAGACCAATGAAAAATACTACTGGGAAACAGAGTGTAAACACTATAAAAGGAAATAAAAAGGAAATTTAAAAATGTTATACTGTGTCAATCCTTTTTTGTTCATTGTACTATTATAAATGAATTTAAAAATCCAAAATTAACAACTACTAAGCAATTTTCAAAATATATAATTTTCAATTATTTATCGTAACATAATTGCTTGGGTATTAAATATTTTCAACCATAAACAAAACTATTAAAAATTATTTCAATCATTTTCACATAACAGGTGCATACAATAATGAAAAAAATCCTTGCCATTGCCTCTGCTTCAATAACAGAAGAATTACTACAGTATTTGTTCATTATTAGCTTTCTTCATTAATAATTTCCCTATAATTCTGCTTCTCAGAGAGGATTACAATTAACAGTAAAAGAAACCTATTGAAACTATTTTTACCTATATAATTTATCTATCAGTAAACTGTTGATATAAAAATAAATTAATGTTAAAGATGACTCACCTATAACTAAATCCCTGGCTGATATAAATACCAGTGGATTGGTGAAAGTTATTCCATATAATTTGAACTTGGCTGCAGTTGAGTTTCTGCTACCATAATCCAAAAGCCAAATAAGACCACAACATAAACAGAAATAAACTGGTCTACTGTAGGCAATGATACGATTGTGACCCTGAAAATGACATTTTAAAAAAGTCAGTTAATTTTAAGCTACTTAGATCATTGATGGCTTATATTCTAAAGATTCAAATTCCTCCATATAGAAGCCAGGTTTCTGATCATCACAGAAGAGATGACAAATGTAGGAAGGAGGAAGAAATGAATGAACTCTGTAATACTGAACTGCAATTAGAGGCATCAGTATGAACTCGGTACTTTTAATATGCATATAAACAGAGGAACAGACAATATGTGTGTGTATATGCACATACAAACCTATATTTCCTAGCTTTATTCACTGAGGGAAACTACAAGCAATGACATTCTAGCAATTAAGACAGTATCCAGATTTTAGTTTTTTGTGAATAATAATATAAATACTATTATTCACAAAAAAGAACCAGGGCTCCACAGAGTAAAGGCTGGTGCCTGGGCTAAGACAGGGAATGTATAAGATGACCTTGGAACATACTGTGGTGCCAGAAAAGTAGAGAGTGGTTAAAGGATGACAAAAATATGTCAAAGAACACAGAAGCAGCATGATGGACACCCAGTGGTCAAACCGGGGATACTCTTGAGCATCAAAATAAATACTATTAGTGACATTATGGTCCACTGAGTAAAATAATCTACTTATCCACACCAATGCATACATATACGACAGAAGTGAAAGCTATTCCTTAGAGTACAAATTCAACAAATAAATGCAGAAGTAATTACGGAATGAGAAAATCACTCTTTGGCAATCATTAAATGATAACTGAATCAGGCACGGGACATCAGTGGATACTAAAACAAGTGGAGAGAAGTTTGTGGAGGAGTAGGACACACATACAGTCTCCAAGTGTCTCCCTATGAGATATCTATTAACTAAAAGAGAAAAATAGTAACATTACAATGGAGTATTTAAGAAAGTGGGAGGGGGTTTGCTCCTAAGAGGACACATGGCAATGTCTAGACACATTTTTGTTGTCACAGTTGGGGTGGGGGTGCTAACCAGCATCTAGTGGGTAGAAGTCAGAGAGGATGTAAAACATTCTACAGTGCACTGGACAGCAACTTTCCTGCCCTGCAAAGCAAGGAATTATCTGGACAAAATGTTAATATTGCAAAGATTTGAGAAACTTGCAGATACTAGCCTTAACCAAAACATTAAAACTGACATTACCAGGGATCCTTTTCTAATATGATGTACTTCTGCAGCATTCCTATGAAAAAGCATGGCCTGTATCTCATCAAAAAGAAACATCAGACAATTTAAACTGAGGGGTGGCCTATGCAATAAATGGTCTGTATCCACCAAAAATTTCAATATCATGAAATAAATATGGAATAATTGCTCCAAGTTAAAGGGAATTTAAATGACCAAATATAATCAGGGACTTTCCATTACCAAATGAGACAAAGGACAAAGCCTGAGTAAGATCTGCAGGTTAGAAGACAGCATTGTGTCATTTAGATAATTATATTGAATTAATGTAAAGGAATGTCTTTGTTTCTAGGAAATATACACTGAGACATAGAGGCAAAGGGGCATCACATTTGCAAGGAAAGACAGAGAGAGAAGGAAAAGGAGAGATCACTGCTAGAAAAGGATTAAGCAAACAAGGTAAAACGGTAACATGGGGAATCTGGGTGAATGGCATTTGGAATTCTTTTTAATACTCTTGCAACTTTAATCCTGTAACTACATCAAAATAAAAAGTTAAAGGAAATACTTCCATGTATCAGCACATTTCAAAAATATTCCTACATAACAATAAATATAATCAGTCAAACTCACTTTGAAAAAAAGAAAAACTATTTTGCCTTGTTTTATTTTGGTCATCTATTTTTACTAGTAATTATTCCAGTGTATGGTTAAAAATTATATTCAAGAAAGAAAGCAACACTGGCTGGGTGTGGTGGCTCATACATATAATCTCAGCAAGCTGTGAGGCTGAGGTGGGAGGATCACTTGAGCCTCGGAGTTTGAAACCAGCCTTGGGAACATAGCAAGAGCTTGTAACTACAAAATACCAAAAAATTAGCCACGTATGGTGGCACCTCTAGTCCAAGTTACTTGAAGGCTGAGGTGGAAGGATTGCCTGATCCCAGGAGTTCAAAGCTGAAGTGAGTTGTGATCATACCAAGGCAACAGAATGAGAACCTCCAACTCAAAAAATAAATAATACAAATTTTAAAAGAATACATCATCATAAACAATTCTTGAAGTCTATTATAATTTTTTTAGAGATGGAGTCTCACTTTGTTGTCCAGGTAGCTCTCAAACTCCTGGGGTCAAGTGATCATTACACTTTGGCCTCCTGAGTAGTCGGGACTATAGTTATCCACCACATCCAGTTCCTTGAAGTCTACTTTTGAGCAAATTGAAAGAGAACAACCTTTCTTCTTTCTATTAAATAAATACTCAGGTTGGATCTAAAATTGGTTCATACTTTACAATAAATAGTGCTAGGCAGATAATATTTAAATAATATTTTTGTCTAAAGTCACAAGTGAATAAAAAGGTTTTTATCCAATGGCCTTAACACCAGACTAATGTACTACTACTTCAATCTCGCTGCTAGTGATTACAAGTGAAATAAAGGGTTTCCCTCTTCAAAATTATGCTTTAATACTTATTCATAATCTATTATTCAAAATTTATTAAATGCAAATAAACAGGTTTATATGAGCCATGCCTGCCTAATTGATAACATCCTCCTGAAACAGGCTATCAAAAAAATGAATTATGTTCACTTTTCAACCAAGACTTAGAGTCCACAAGTACAATGTCATTTTATTTCAAGCTAACAAATCACCTATATTTGTAGTAGAGTGTCAGAACTTAGATGAGGAAAATAATAACATAAGACTTAATTAAATCTGATGCATTCAAAAAAAAAAAAACAAGGAAAACTGAAGGGTTTGATAGATGTTAAGGAACTATAAATTACAGCCATATAGAGTGACTTACATGTCTGGGAGAAGAAGAATCTGGTTGAACACTCTAAAAATGAAACAGAAAGACAAATTACACTACTGAAGTCCTGGTAATTTTACAAGCAACTTTCAAAATGTCTGAAATGATTTCAAGTAAATACTCTACAATCACAAAATGATCCATATTACTAACTCTGTTCCACAAATGAAACATCAGCTCCAGATACCAGTGTCACTGTGATATTAAACACATTTCAAATCTTTCCTGCCGGGCTCAGTGTCTCAGCCTGTAATCCCGCGCCTTTGGGAGGCGGAGGTGAGTGGATTGCCTGAGCCCGCGGGTTCGAGGCCCGCCTGGGCAGTGAGACCTCATCTCTACAATAAATCAAAAAATCAGTCGGGCGTGGTAGTGCATGCCTGTAATTCCGTCTACTTGGAAGGCTGAGGCGGAAGGATCGCCGGAGCCCAGTAGGTCAAGGCTGGAGCGGCCACTGCACTTCAGTCTGGGCAACAGAGTGAGACTCCAACTCAAAAAAAAAAAAAAAAAAAAAAAAAATCTTTCCTGGTGAGAGTCAGGAAATAAGATGACTTATTTTGGTTAATTAGTCATTTGCATCTATCTTAAAGTTTCTGAAGCAGCATATGGCAAACATTACGGTACATAAGTACCGTTAAGGCAGAATTATTTCTCACAGAATAGCACTCCATCCAGGAAATGCACAGTAACAAGGGGCAGCTGGCAACAAGTATTCTAGTTCTGCCCACAAATTCCAAGCTTACTAAAAACTCAATGATATTTGTATTATCTGCATTTTCACATCAAAGTGATCAAATAAGTTAAGCTGTATCCTCTTAAGAGGGTTTATTAACTTCCTATAAAAATGTTCAGAAGGGTATTGTGTGGCTACTTCTCAGATCATGCTTTTCCCACCAAGTTTTGGTTCGCATCCAATGGCACGTCAAACAACATCACTAGGGTGTTCTACCACCATCACACAGACTCCTGTGGAGTCTGGCATTTGGTCCTTGGCTAGATCTGAGTACAGGAAATCTTTAAACTCTCTCAACTACAACACCTGTCCTTGAAAGCTTCTGTTCCTGCCTTTCCTATTTGTTTATGATATGATTTAGTCTTCTAGTTAACAAGTTTCAAAAATCTCAGGTATCTTTTTACCTTTTCCATATTAAACTATACTAACCTTAAAGCAGTGGACCAAATTAGCTAAGCCAGGGACACTAGAGTCATACAATAAGTTTTAAATGGTTTAGGACAATAAAGGGATAGATTAATGTGGTTGAAACTAGAGGCAAGAATGAACAGCAGTCGTTTTAATAAAAAACCACCAGATGTAATCAAAGGGTCCTGCTATTAGGAAGGAAGAAGGAAGGAGCAGAGACTCTAAGATTTTGAGCTGGTACACCATTGTCAAAAGCAAAGAGACTGGGAAAGAAAATCGATCAGAAGATGATAATGTGCTATTTTTAAAATATGTCCAACTGTCTGATAGATATATAAGACTAAAACTGGCAAAAGAGGTTAAGACCCTGAGATATAAATCTGGACATAACTCATATATGGGGCAACAAATAAAGTAATAAAAAAGGATGACTTCACTGACAAGGAACTATAAACTGAGAAGAGAACCAAATAAAATCCTAGCGAATTCTCATAAATTAAGAAGTAGTCAAAAGGACAAGAGGCATCAACAAAGGAAAAGAAAGTCATCTGAAAAGTTTCGAGGAACACCAGGGTAGTATGAAGTCACAGATCACAATGAGAATATAAAAATAAAAGACAGTATTGGCAGGTATTAAGTGATGCAGCCTCCAGAGAGTAGAGACTAGGAAAAGGACATAGGTCTAGCAGTGAGGATGGTTATTCGCAAACACAAAGAGTATTTTAGTTCTGCAATCCGGAAAAGTATGGACAGGTTTAAAGACATGAAGCAGATGATTTAGGTGGCTTACTCCAGATGCTCAGCTAGAAACGGAGAGAGAAGAAAGGACAGCTGACAGCAGAAAGTGAACCAAGTGAACCATGTGCAGGCTGGGGGAGGGCTCTGAGAGTTGGCATAAATAAGGCAAATAACCAATACCAAGCAAAGGGTATTTACTAAGAAGAAAAGGAAACAGTCTAGCTAACAATCTTCACTGATTTTGAATTAAAGGTGAAAGCTCTGCTTTTACATAAATTGACATGTTTGATTCTCCCATTTTTTGAAAGCTGAAAATTAGAATTGGCTGGGCTCGGTGGCTCTGCCTGTAATCTCACGCCTTCAGGAGACTGAGGTGAGTGGATTGCCTGAACCCGCGGGTTCGAGACCCGCCTGGGCAACTTGGCGAGACCTCATCTCCACAATAAATCAAAAATTAGCCAGGCATGGTAGCGTGCGCCTGTAGTTCTAGCTACTTGGAAGGCTGAGGCAGAAGGATCGCCGAAGCCTGGCAGGCGAGGCTGCGGTGGCCGGGAGTAGGCACTGCACTCCAGTCTGGGCGACTGAGTGAGACTCCAACTCAAAAAAAAAAAAGAAAAGAAGAATTTAGTATTTTTGAGTCATTATGGAACAAAGCTCATAGATCCTACTTTTGACATCATTATATTTATTGATGACAGATTTTAATACATTTCACTCACAGAATAGAAGACTCAAAAGATGGAAGTAAGAGAGTTAACAAGAATGCAAATTCTTATTCTAACAAATACAAAACATTTTCTTTTACTACAACATTTTTTTTTTAATTTTAAAGATGTGGAATACAATTCTGGATTAGGTACACAAGTGGGCTTGTACAGGTAAAGTTTGGGACTCCCTTTGCTCCCCATTTTGCCTGGTTTGATCAGGTACCTTTAATGATATTGTATGCCCCCCACTCTCTACCCCAGCAGTATCCTGCTACTGCCAATCCCTTTCTCACAGTATTATGGTTAAGTGTTCAGGGTCCATTTAGAAAGAGAACATGTGGTACTCTGATCTTTGTTTCTACGAAAGATCACTGAGAATAATCGACTATAAATCCATCCAAGTAGCTGCAAAGTCCATATGTTTGTCCTTTTTTATGGATGCATAATATTCCATTGTGTATAAGCACCACTTTTTTTGTGTACAGTCCTGTTTCAATGGGCAGCACGGTTGGTTCCATGATTTTGCTATTTTGAATAGTGCTGCAATAAACATGCATGTGAAAGTATCTTTTTTTTAGAATGATTTGAATTCCTCCAGGTATATTCACAGTAGGGGGACTGCTGGATCATATGGGAGGACAATTTCCAGTTCTTTTAGAAATTGCCACACTGTTTTCCATAGAGATTGAACTAGTTTGCATTCCCACCAGCAGTGTAGAAGCTTTCCCTTTTCTTCATATCCTCACAAACATCTGTTGTTGTTTGTTTTATTAATGATGGTCATTCTTAAATGCAGTTAGAATGCAGTTTTAATTTGCATTTCTCTGATAATTAGTGAGGCTGAGCACTTTTTGTTTGCTACCTGCCTGTATATCTTCTTTTAGGAAGTGTCTATTCATGTCTTTTGTCTACTTTTTAATGGGGCTGGTTTTTTGGGGTTTTTTTTTTTCCAGTATGATTGAGATCCTTGTAGATCCTGGATGTTAGGCCTTTGTGAGATACCACTGACAAATATTTTTTCCCATTCTGAGGGCTGTCTCCCCACTCCCTTAATGGTTTCTTTTGCTTCACAGAAGCTTTTCAGCTTAATGATGTCCCACTTGTCTATCTTATCTCTTATGGAATGGACACCTAGGGTTTTGATCCGGAACTGGTTGCCTACTCCGACTTCTGTAAGGGTGTCTCCTGCGTTTTTCTAAGATTCTTATAGTTTGAGGTTTTACGTTTAGGTTTTTGATCCATTTAGAGTTGATCTTTGTGTCTGGTGATAGGTAGGAGTCCTGTTTCAATCCTCTGTATGTGGTCAGTAATCCCAAAACCATTTACTGAATAGGTTCTCCTCTCCCCAGTCATTGTTGGTGGAGACTTTGTCGAAGATGAGTTGGTTGAAAAATTGAGGTTTTGTTTCCAGATTCTGTATCCTGTTCTATTGGTCCATATGCTTGTTTTTGTACCAATACCAATACCAGGCTGTTTTGATTATTGTAGCCTTATAGGAAAGTTCAAAGTCTGGGAGTGTGATACTTCCTACTTTCTTTCTTTTGCTAAGGATTATTTTGGCTATTTGTGGTCATTTATGTTTCCATATGAATTTCTGTACTGTCACTTCCAGATTTGAGAAGAATGATGTTAGTAATTTAATGGGTATTGAATTAAATCTGTAGATTGCCATTGGTAGGATGGCCATCTTAACAATGTTGATTCTTACTATCCATGAGCATGGAATATTTTTCCATTTGTTTCTGTCTTCTTGGATGTCTCTGAGCAGTGTTTTGTAGTTTTTATTGTAAAGGTCTTTCAGTTCTCTGGTTAGGAAGATTCTGAGGTATTTCCTTTTTATTTTTTTGGTGGTTGCTGTGAATAAAATTGTGCTTTTTATTTGGTTCTCTACCTGTTTTTGTTGTGGTGTATAAGAATGAGACTGTTTTTTGCACATTTATTTTGTACCGCGAGACCTTGCCAAAGTTCTTTATTGCTGAAAGGAGGTTTTTGACAGATTCTCTTGGAGTTTCGAGGTATAGGATCATATCGTCAGTAAAGAGGGATAACTTAGCTTCTTCTTTTCCTATTTGGATACCTGATTTCCTTCTCTTGTCTACTTGCTCTAGCTAGGACTTCCAACACAATGTTTAACAAGAGGGGTGAAAGTGGGCAACTTTGTCTTGTTCCGGTTTCCAGGGGAAATGCTTCCAGTTTCTGTCCATTTAGCAACATGCTAAATGGCACTTACTATTTTGAGGTATGTTCCTTCTATACCTAGGTGTTTGAGGGTTTTTATCAAGAAGGGATGCTGGATTTTATCAAAAGCTTTCTCTGCATGTCATGATATAATCATGTGGTTCTTGTTTTAACGTCTATTGATGTATTTAATTACATTTATGATCTTATGGATGTTGAACCAGTCCTGCATCCTAGGAATGAAGCCTACTTGGTCATGGTGGATA